CAGAAGGAAGGGGGGGGGGGGTCACCCTATCCTCCATTTGCATAGAGAACCGTTTAAACTGACTGGAAGCACTCCTGGAAAAGGATCATTAAATTATTACACTGAGGACATCTTGAACACATTTACAGGACAAACTAGAGATGTTTGTTGAATTTGTTATGTCAACTGAAAACTAATTGCACATTTTTTCGCTTGTTTGGGAAAAAGGCAAAGCCGGTGGAATAAACTTCATTGCTGTTGCTTTGATTGATCAACAACAAATGTTGACAAGGTGCTAACAGAGTTGAATTATACTCTTTTCTTGGGATGATTGTGAATGTTTTTCTTTACTCACAGTTTATTTCTTCATTTTGGTTTTGGAAATCTCAGCACTAGGTAAAAGTAATGTCAAATGTTCATCAGTTCAACTAAATCATCATTTGAAATATCTCACACTGTGCCATTATTATGTGTATAAAATATTCTTTATCCAAGGTCAGAACCAGCCTCTTTTTTTCAGATGTATTCAGGTTTTCATTATGAGGACTGTCCAATGTTCGTCATCTTTTGTTGAAGGACTGAAGGACACCATGGCCATGTATCTCATTTTCTATTCAACTCTCCCACAAGCATAAGCTTTTATTGTTACTCTTAGAAAGGCGTTCTTCTCTTTATTCTCTAGTCCAGTTCCCCAAGAACCTTGAACTATTCTGCTGAGAACATAACATGTGAAGTTGTTAACTTATTTTCTATTGTATTTCACATTTTCTTAACTTTCTGGGGTTTCTGTAGCAACACAGTTTGCCTGGAAAGTTAGTTTGACATTTTGTTGCTAGAAGTACTCATCCAATTAGTGTTTTTCTGTCCACATATACTCTGCTGCTCCCTTTGTACATAGTCAGAATGACCTTATTTTAAGGTGTATTTAAGGGGCTATAGTTTTCATTTATCACCCACGAGCCAGAAAACTAGCAAATTTAGCGTATAAAAACGTCGTTATTTGGGAAATCTTGAGTATGAATTCTGGTTTTACTGTTCCCATTTCAGCAATTTTCCATGTAATGTAAAAATGTTGTCATCTGCTCCTATCTAAGTCAGTGTGGACAGTCCACATGCTGCTCATGTGCACATGACAACATTTTTGTCCCGCAGACCCTCATGCAGAAAATCTGCAGTGTATCTCACTCTCGCCGACGATTGACCATAACAAGGTTACAATTCATGAGTGTGTGGACAGTGCACACACACACACACACACACACACACACACACACACACACACACACACACACACACACACACACACACACACACACACACACACACACACACACACACACACACACACACACACACACTACGTACTACTACGTTACGTACTACGTAGTAGTAGTACGTACGTACGTACGTAACGTACGTACGTTACGTACGTACTTACGTTACGTTTCGTTTACGTTTACGTTTA